TACATAATCGTATATATATTTTTTAATATATGTGATTATGTATATCTACATTTATAAATCCTTTTGTGATGTAAATATTATTACATGTGATGAACTTCACTTATATTTAGACACATATTATCATATATGTGACATGTGCAAAAATTCACATAATGTATCATAGAAGTTCATCACATTTGATTCAAATTCGTGGATCCAAAAATTAGATAAAAATAGTGAAAAAGATTATGAATTAATTGTAGATATCATGTTGAAGAAAATTTTGATTTTTCTATCAAAGTATAATCATAAAAAAAGTTAAATAAAATAATTATGAATTTATTACATTAAAAAATAAATAAATCTAAAAGATATAATTAGATTTTTGAAGATTAATTCAATCCAAAATAATAATTATCTTAATTTCTAAAAAATTATGTTATTTTTTAATTAATAAATTATGTGACTTAATATTCTTTTTCGCCTTCTCATAAATTAGTTAGTTTCTCGCACATGGTCATACATGCATACATGCATACATGCATACATACATACATACATACATACATACATACATACATACGTACATACATACATACGTACATACATACATACATACATACATACATACATACATACATACATCATTTAGCTTCACAAATTTGTATAATATGCGTCCTTGAAGTTAATTAATATGTGGTTTCCCATGTTGTTTCATGCAAACTTAAAAATTCAATTTGCATGATGGCTTTAAGAGACCCTGCATGTTAGGCTAAAAGGATAAAAGATTTCATGCACTTAAGATAGAACGGATTCTTTTAGACCGGGCTGAATCCTATACTTGAATTTGAGTAAATCGTGAAAGCCTTTGGTCTCGGTCAAATGATTCCTCTTTCATTTGGTACATAAATTTATTAGGGAATTTACAGGTGTATCTATAAACTAAAAGGCTCTTAAATTTTACAAAGCAACCTCTATTTCAATTTGGAATAATATATGCATCAACCTTTATCCATTTACTTTGTTATCTTCTCTAACAAAAAGTTGCTCATTCTAAAGTTTTCACTTAAAATATCATCCACAAATCAAATTCGTTTAACCATCCTTCTAAATTATATATATTTGATTTAACGTACGTTTCAATAAGGATCTTCATTATGCTTATTTCAATTCGAGTAATAATTACTAAGAATTAAAAAGAGTACCTAACTTTAGATTTTGCCCAAAAAACCGTAGTAAATATGGAGTATAAGGTATTGTCTTTTAAAAAAAGAAGAAGAAATGGATATAAAATATATAGCCAACCACTGATATGTTAGAGTTTAGTTTGTGTAAACAATCGAGATTTTCTAAAGGCAATATGACTACTTACTGAGTCAAGAATGCAACTCGACAAAGGGTGAAGGAAACCCTAGTTAGGTTAAAAAGAGAGAGAGGTTAAAAAGACAAATTCCATCCTTATGGTAATGGGTTATAAAAAGTTTAAAGCAAAGAAGATAATCATCTTTTTTGGCGATTCTAAAGTAGATATCTTTAAGGTTTAAAGAGGAGATGCTTATCTTTGAATTTCATAATACTAATGTTTCTTGCTTTTGCTTTTTAGGTTTAGTTTTTCTTTTCTTTTTTAAATAAATCGTGTATTTATATTAAATTAAATCCCACCTTTTAATGCTTTTTCCTTAATATTGGAATGTTGGGTCTTACTAAAACCAGAGGTCGAAAGTTATTCTTTTTGGGAAACACATCACACACCATAAAAAGTTGTGCTCTCTTTCTTTCTCTTGATATTTCTTAGGGAAGATTTTGCTTTTTCCATTTGTAAACCGGTAAAAAAGAAAAGCTATATTTTCTCCTTGCACTACCCATACGCCATGGATCATATAATATACTACCTTTATTCATAACTCAGATTAGAAAGAGAAAGATAGTTAGGGTTTGCTTTTATAAGTATTTAGGACATTGTAAGATCACTTTGAGTTCCTCATCAAATTGAAGTTAAAGGTTTAAGCATATATATTACTTAGGGGGTGCTTCGTTGGGGCTTTTGAGGGATATATAACGAATGAGGATTAGTATATAATAATGAAAATATGGTCTGGTTTGATATAATATAATGGGTTCATTACCCGAAAGTCGTTAATTGTCATTCCTCACGAAATTGGGGGAAATGGAAATGTTATTCCCACTTATTTAACATTTTTCTATTTTCTCGTTGGATGAAACTTATTTATATTTTTAAGTTGGGTGAAATATATTTATATTCAAAATATTATATGAATTAATTTTTTATTGATTATATTAGTTTAACCAAATGGTATCAATGCATTGCTTATTACTATTCTCATTCTCATTCTCATGCTTATATTCCCATTTTTCTTTTCTTTCTCATTCCTCAAAGTGAACCAAACACGCCCTTAATGAATTACTAACAGCTCATCAATAAGTAACATATTACATTTCTTCTTTCTGATGTTGCTAGTTTCCTTGATCTATAAAAAAAGAAACCGAAATGATCAATCTTCTTTTGGTCTTAAGAGATTAACTCTATACATATATACACACATGTACAGGCATATACATATGTATATATCTGTTGAGATGTTATCCTACTGACTCTATCATAACCTTGTAATTTTGTTGTTCTTTTGCTAACAGCTTGCTAGTCTTTATAAGATCGTTGGTTGCTGTTTAAAAAAACAATTTTATCAAGACACCCAAGTTAACTTGTATGTTCACTCTAAACATGTTATTTTAATGTGCTTAGTCTAAAGATTATTTACTAGAAAAGTAGAAGTATATATTTCAAGAAAAGAATAAAAGGTACATGTAAAAATAGGACTTCATGATGTGATTAAAGTAAATGAACATATTTTAAGCACTCAAAGATCTTATAATGTGATAATTTGAATTGGTAAAAATCAATGTTATCAATTACATATATTAGCTCAAAAATTAATTTTTAGTTATATTGAGTAAGTTTGCAAATTAAATTTAACTGAAAATGTTAAATAACCGGAACCGAACAGTAAAAGATTTTGAGGTAGTTTGTTACGAGGTCTCATGTGATAATTTAAGAAATTAACCCAAAAAAATTACAAAAGTATACATACAAGAAAAAATACTGGGCAGAAAATTTCAACACTAAGAATTTCAAGAATCGTGAACCTTATTGTGGTTAAATTAAAGGCCTCATTTGTGCATGTCTCATTATTATTGTTTTACTTTTAAACAACTTTTTAAAGCCATACTTTAAAAATCCTTGTGGGAAATTATAAGCAAATAATTTGTATGGAGCCCCCACCGACTTGGTCTTCGATATATATATATATATATATATATATATATATATATATATGCGCATATTGATTGCCATATGTTGCTCTATGTGCACAAGTTTCATGAAAGTTTAAAGTCTTTTTTGGAAAATGCATATTGTTCTTCCTAATATCAACTCCATTAAGCATCATAATGGTGTTTAAATCACAAAAAACTAGGAGGGTATCTATGTCCTACCTTTTTAATTACATGCGTCCACTACTGTTATTAAAATTACTTATTTGTGTCATAAATTAATGACAAGGATGCGTTAATAAATAAATAGCAAAAGTTTAATCATTAAATTTGTTACTGGTTTTTGGATTTTCAAAAAGAGAAATTCTGCGAGATTGATCCCTTCAAGAACTTTGCGGAACTCAAATTAGAGTTCATATAAAGTAAATAAATAATACGATACATTTGGGATATGAAATAAGAAATAGTTTTCTCATTTAAATTTTGAGACAATTGGGAAGCTGGATATTAAGTTCAAGATTCAAGATTTACAGTGACAAATCTTGAATGTTGAAATTGATACATCTGTCTACAGATTCAAGTAACCGTATATCATCCATGGACATGGATTGCTCGTCATGATCTTCATCAAATGAAATATTCAAATCCAAAGATACACAAGGACTTCCTTCTTCTTCTTCTTGTACTTTCTGCTTCACTCGTGGAGAACATGTTCTCGACCTAGAGCTGAAGCTCTCACAACTCAACACTATTATTGCATCACCAAAGCTAACTTCTTCACCATTCGGGTGTGTAAGTTTTCCTCTTTGGATAGCTCTTTTGATGCCCATTTGGGAGCAATAATCTGCTTGCTCAACATCCTCAATCAAGAAAACCCTATGAGGATTTGTGGACACTGCTTCAGCGAACCTTCCCAGATAACTACAACTTTGTTCATCTCTCGACCTCTTGTTCCGCGGTTCATCGGTATCCACCCTTGGGGATGATGAGAAATTGCTTACAGCAATTGCAATAAAATCCGAATGTGACCCAAAAACAACTTTAGCTAACTCCTTAGCAATTATCTCTTTTGATTGTGAATCAATGCCTTGGAAGAAAAACCAAGTCTCTTCTTTGGGTTCATTGTTGTTTAACTTGTCTTTTCTTCTTAGCATTCCTGATCTGCATTTTAGTATCGTACCCGCAATATCAGGAACAATATCTTTCTGCCATGGAGCCTTCTCTTCTAAAGCATTGCATAGGATTTTCAGATTCTCTCCGTTAAATTCCTTGAACTTTTGCACATATTCCACCTCCATAAGATCACTCGAAGAAACTGAATTTGGAGTGGAGTTAGGGTTTGATGAAAATCTTTGTTGGGGCTCTCCCTCATCATGATGAACAAGAAACGGTTCCGAGTTTTTCTCTAGGGCGCTAAAATCCCAAAGTTGACGGTCGCTTGAGTTTCGGTTGGAATTAGGGTTTTCTTGATTGTAGGAAAAGCAAGAAGCTGGTGAGGAAGGTGAAACAGAAGAGAAGCTTAAGCTTCTCTGAAACAAGGGTTTCATGTTCCTATGATCTGAAGTGCAGATTGAGTTCCATTTCTTACACAACTCTTTTACCGAAACACATTCCTGAATTTAGTATACAAGAATGATATTAAACTATTGTACTATATATCCAAGTAAAAGCATATATAGGTATATATGATGTAACTTTAAAGTGTCGAAAGTAGAGCATATGTGATACTCACCTGGTCATGATTATTGACTACTATTTTCTCATCTGCAAGCCATGAAGGGAGGCTTGAGGACCTTGAGCTTTTAGCTTCACTCTCAAAATTCAACGAGCAATCCTCGCAACATGTGAGTTGCTTCTCGTCTCCGCTTTCAAGCATCAGCCGACTACCCCCATTGTTGGCGTTCTTGCTTCCACACTCACTTTGGATATCACTGTAGGGAAAAAAAACGATCAGATGAGGAATATTAATTTGTAAAGAGCTCTAACAAATCGAAGTTGTTAAATCCAATAATCTCAGATAATGATGATACTTAACATAAGAAAAAGGTCGATATTTTTAATTAATTTGTAAAGAAAATACTGATTATGATCAATGTCACTTTATAAATGCTATGATCAAAAAGAAAAGCAGAAAGAGAAAAAAGGAAGTTGTATATATAGATGAAGAAGAATCTGGAGAATGAAGTAAAGGGAATAAGTAAAGACGAAAATCCATCAAATCTTGAACTCTAAATTAAAGATGGTCGAAAAAATGTAAAATTTAAAACTATAGTTGTGTAGCGTTCCAAGGAAAGAGCAAAACTAAAGACTCCTTAATATGCCATGAAAGCTGGTTATATACCTCTGTGGAACAAGACTCAAGCTTAAGCTCCCAGCAGGAATTGTAAGAGGATGTAGCTTCCAAATGATTTCGAGAGAAGGGTTTCCGTTTCTACACCGCATGTATGTTTGAAATGATGAAATCCCCATTAACCAAAGCTTTCCGCAAATCTCTTCATTGATACCACAAACTAATCTTCCCAACTCCATAATTAAGTGTTCAACCGGACAATAGTATCCCCTTCCTTGACCCCATGAACTAACCCTGTACTCAGTAATCCACTTAAGATCTCCCAAGTAAAGTACAACCCCTCTTCTCACATGCCCTTTCACTAGGCTCCTTAGCTCTCCAAGCTTTAGTTCAACCTCTCCTCTAGAAAGTTGACCAAAAGAGAAGAGAGGAAGACTTATAAACTTAACATCTCTTAGAGCCTCAGGAACTTCTCCTTTGTCAACCTTCTCCATCACTCTTCCTACTACCCCTTCTATGGTAGCAACACACTCGCCAACAACTACAAGGCTTCGTGGGCGCTTCTTGTTTAAAAGACTCTCTATCACGCACATCACATCCTCATTCCTCACCGTAATTTGATTACGATGTGGATTGACACCAGTATTTTGTTTTGTACAGTCCTTAGACTTGATGGTATTACTTGAAGCAGTAGAAGGAGGTGTTTGAGAGGATAACTCTAAAGAGACAACTTGTTCTACATTAGTTTTCACTTGTGTACTCGAAAACCCAGCCTCTCTCATCACCCTGCTAACGCTTGGGTCATCTAAAATCGATATTATAAGCTGTTCAAGCTCAATCTTTACAGCAAGCAAGGGCTGCTGCTGATTCTCAATGGATCCACGCCTCTGGTGTGCCTGTGCCCGCTTGAACGCTGCCACGAGAGCATTAGAAATCGAGGGGTGCTGGTGGTGGTGCTGGGATGAGTGAGTCGGGCCTAGCATAGGGGTGGACGAGGATGTGGGTAGACGGTTTAGGGCGACGTTAAAGCAAAGCTCTAGAGCCTTACACTGGAGAGGGTGGGAGTGGGATTGGAGGCAGGCCGTACGAAGGAGGCCAGTGGCGGAGGAGAGCATGGTGTTAGCCACATGGAGAGGGGTCACCTGAGCATGACCACGGCGGCGTGCGAGGGTAACCGCCTGTTTTATAATGCTTGCTGCATCTGAACTTAAAGCTTGTTGGATAGTGAAACCACCAGCTCTCATGATTTTTCTTGAAGAAATACTTGATGGATAGCTATAAGGGCGTTATATGTTTACTACTGCGACGATGATGAAGAAGAGAAGAGACCATTTAAGATCTAAAAAACTTGATTTGTGAGTTTAGTGTTAGATTGTGTATGCAGAATAGAAATGGTATTGAAGGAGAGAGATGGGGGGGGGGGGGGGGGGGGGGTGTGCTTTGCTTGGGGGTGAGGTAAGATTTAGAGGGCCAAAGTCGATTTTGTAGTGGAAAGTGGAATGCATGTGCTGACAAGCAGGAAGAATTCACCAGTCCCAAAGGCGACGCAGCTTTGAAAGGAATCAGGAACTATGTACGATTTTCTTGCAGCGGGGTACTCTTTCTTTTGAGTCTTTATAATCTACTCATCAAAAATAAAGACGACAATAAATATATATATATATATATATATATATATTTATCCATAAAAATAAAATATAAAAACAATTCATTTATATAATCTTTCAAAATCTGAAAACATTGAGATAAATATTCTGGTTTTATAAACCAACAACTTAATAATTTAATGTTGTTGTTTTGGGGAAAAAATGTATTTTAATAGTTTTTTTAGAGTTCTCTGGAATTAATAATAGAAGGATCAACAAAGACCTTGCTATTTGTTTATATTTTATATATAATATATACTCGTTTTATACTTTTATATAAATTAGACAAAAATAATTAAAAAATAATAAATCCTTAGATATTTTACACATTAAATAGTTGTAATGCTATAAGTAGGAACACTATTAAATTAATTTGATCATGTCGTTTTGCTGAAAGTCTTAATACCCTTGTTGCTTTCTCACTTAGGCAAAATATTTCGTAATATACATCATCTCCTTAGAGGTCTTCACATTTTTAAAATATATGATAGAGTTTAAATTTCAAATTTATAAAGTATTTATCGTGTTATCAATAAATCACAATGTTCTCAAACACTCGTCATAATATCCGCCATAGTATGAGCATTGGTAAGCCATGGTCTAATGTGTGGTTTATGATATTTGATTTTTCTTACCTGTTTAGTGTATCACTTTTTAGTTTTTTAGTGTATAACCTAATTTTAAATTGTTTAGATCATTGACTAATTGAATAATTAGTGAAAATATGTGTGTGTGTGTGTATATATATATATACAGTTTATATATATATATATGTTATACAGATTTACTGATATAAGTTGCGTCTTGAAAAGCGTCGTGGTCTCGTCTTGATTCCTAAAATTTAATTGGATTGACATTGCTGCCACAAAATGTTTCACACTATTTAAAACCTTGATAAATAGTCAACATTAAATTTCACCCATTTGATTAGGCATCTTCACACAATCTTTTCCACATCTTAAAAATCATATGCATGTACAGAGATGCATATATGTGGCCTTAGTTATGATTTGTTGTAGTTAGTTTAATGATGAAATGAAATTTTAATTTTTATGTTGTGTTGTTTGCTTAAATGTTTAATATCCTTATATCATAATCTAATATTCATGATTCTAAATTATTGTTAGTGAATTATGAAGAGGACATCAACAAACAATAAAAATTTCATCCATTTGAAATATGGTTTCTTGAAAATTTATATACATAAGAACAAAAATAACTATTAAAGTATATTAATTGGATGATGAGTGGCCAAAGATCAACATGTTAAATTATACCTTAATTATTATGCCCAATGTTCCAAATGGTGCATTTATAATTAACACCCTCGATGACCCTTAATTATTAAGCTCAACAAGGGTAGATGGTGCATTTATAATTAACACCCTCGATGAGTCGTCGGTAGATGTAGTCGAATGATTCATTTGTCGTGTGCTTATCACTCCAAGAACTCACCATTTCTACTTTCCATAACTTTATCACTTTCAAGAAGTTCTCTCTGACTCAATTCGGACATGCTATGAAAGCTCATGTGGCCGAGTTGAAGGTGTCATAAACATGATTAATCTGTATTTGAAGAACCCTTGAAACAACCGTTGCATCATTGGTAACTATCTGGCCATCCAAGTTGTAGAGGTTTGAGGTCTTGCGATTTAGTTTCAAAATATTTATACCCTGCTAAACACCCTAAGTGATCATATCTTGTCAACAAACTCATATTCTTTCTCTTCAAGAGAACAAAGACAATAGATTTCGCCTAAGATCGGGAGCTCAGTTGGCATTTCCCAATGTTCTGACAACTCCATCAAACATCCAAATTCTCATTATACCCTATAATCAAGCAAGTACCATCATTGTCCATTAGAACTGATCTTTGGTCAACGTCCTCATATGTATGGAACCAACCCATGTTGGGACATATGTGAAATGTACATCCAGAATCAAGAATCCATGCCTCTGAAAGTAATGATCCATCTCTAAATATAGCAAGAAGTTCCCCATCAGAATCAACCTCGGCTACATCGATTTCACCATAATCGAAAATATCCTTACTCTTTGTGGTTGCCTTCTCTTTCTCTTTTTTCTTCATCTTGTAACATTCATCAATTACATGTCCTTTCTTGTGACAGTAATTGAAGAATTTTCACTTGGTTTTTGACTTGGATCTCGCTTTACTGGAAGAAGATAAACCTCTCTCAAATGATAGTCCTCTCACATTTAGACCCTCGGTTTTCATTTCAGAACCACCTAGTGTGATTTGTTTCATTTCCTCCTTTAAATCCAAAGTAGTAATCACATCATCCAACACAAGTGAGTCACGACCGCGACGATAACAAGAATAAAGCTAAATCATCATCTTCATACTTCACATCCATATTCTCTAAGTTGCAGACCAATTCTTTGAATGTGGACAAATGACTAGACAATGAACTATCTTCCAGCATCTTGAGATAAAACAACCGTAGTTGCCAACTGTCCCTATCAGGAAAATTTTACTATTAGTTGGGAATTTTATGAAAGAACTTTTTGACTCCTGAATTTGGAGTATGTTGTATATTTAAAAGAGGCTGACCTCCTTGCGATCAATAATATCATAATATGAAAATTTGGCCCAAATCACCTTACCAATAGAATCCCCCCCCCCCCAAAGAGCTCACATCGACAGGAAGGTTTGGCACCTCGATGAACAAACAAAACAAAAAGAGGGTCATCTCAGCGGAAGGAGAAGTAAGTGTAATTTGTTTGTTAGATTCTTTGTCATCAACAATTGTTCCAACTTCAACCATAAAGCCATCGTTGAAGTCTTCTTTAACATATCTTGCAACACATCGTGGGATAAGTGTAAATGGATTTTAGATGGCGCCTTCAAATCCTTCATTCTTCTCCATCATCGGTCCAATCCGCCGACATTCTCTCAAAGCCCAAAAGCGCCTCATCAAGTTCCAATTGAATTAGAACGCCCTTCATTTGCACTTGCCATACTGAAAATCGCGTACCTCGATCAAGCTTTGGAATATCAAACTTCACCAAAGTCATAGCATTAACCAACGATAAATAATCCTAAACGAATCAATACTCAATTCCAGAAGCTCTGATATATACAAACATAGTAGCTAGCTACATATATACATACTCATGCATGTAAGCAAATAGACATATATCAAGAATTTCATCAACACATGTGTAATATGTATATGTATGTTTTCATATGTGTTTGCAGATAATACTAAAACCATTGGTGGTAAAGACATTATGGTCGGATTCCAGATTGATTAACAAAAAAATCTACAAACATACTAATGGATGTTATTGTTGTAGACCCTTCAACTTCAAATGAGAACATACGTATGTATGCGGTTATAGTTGTTGGATATGTTCAAACATCGTCTATTTCTATAAATAGCTTTTTAAGAAAGAATTAGAAAAGTTCCAAATATATATATATATATATATATCTTTTAATAATATTAATTTTATAAATTACAAATTAGGAACAAGATTTAATTTTGTTTAGGAATTGGTAAAGTGAGGAAGATCTACGAGTGTGAAGGTTAGAGTTAGGTGTGGGATTATGGTAGGGTTAGTTGTCTCAATCCTGAGCGTGCTAATGCATGGAAAGGAGAGCTATTACACCACTACTCACTATTGCCATCTGTCTTTTTATTGTTCATCATAATATATATATATATATATATATATATATATATATATATTTATTTATTTATTTTTATTAAATGAAAATACTGAAAAATATAAATCAATAATAATATTAGGAGCAAAGTAACCATAAAAACCACCCTACCAAATATTCTCTTACACAAAAAACAAGAGATCTCCCACATTCATTCCTCAATCATCTTCCACCTTTTTATTAATTTATGTAATCCATATATATATAGTTTTGTTTCATAAATCATTTTTACTCTTAATGTCCACTTCGATTTCAAATAGTTGCTTTAATTAAAGTCTAACCTAGCTATTAATATAAAGAATAATACTTGATTATAGACTTATGATTGGTCGATACAAATTATTTAAACAACGGCGTTTTAGAACATTCATTTTTGATATATACATGTCCGTTTTTTGTTAAAATGCTCATTTTCCTTTTCTTTCTTCTGTTTTCTACCAAAAGCTTTGGGTGGTCTAAATCATGGGTACACATTACTAACGATATCATACACATAAACACATATGTTTGTATGCAAAAAGAAAAGGCTATTAGGCTTTTAGTTCTTGTTCGTGAGAAATGATTGTCACTATATATAACGGTAGCTTGTTCAGGTATGTTCAACATCTACAACGCAACGTTCCAATTACGATCATTGACAAGAAGTTATGCAACTATTTATCAGACTTCAAAATGTATATTTAACTGTTTATTGTATGTTTAAATGTAATAAGGTTGTTTGTTTTTTTTCTATTATTATTAAATGGTTTGGAAATGGAGAAAAATTAAATCAATAGCATCCCGAAATTAGAAATTACGAAAAGGACAAGCTAGATAAATATAATGTGCTTTGCATATTTGTAAATGATTGCCTTTTGAATGTTTTGCAATTAACATACAGTGTGTTCCCAATTGCATATTGTTTGGTGATACATCACTCTCAAAGGGGAAAAACCCTAATATATGGCTACGAAGATCAATCACCCATTACAATACCCTAGCTAAATAACTAGCTCCTGCCCAGATATCCCTCTAGCTAATTAACTTTCCATCAAGTCTC